CGAGCTCTCAGTTGTTTTCCCTTCTCAGGATTATTTTATAGTTAACACATGGAAAACTTCAGCATAGGTTACAGAACAAAATGTACACATCATAAACATTTTTTCAAAATTTTTTAGTTGTAGTTGGTACGTTATCTTTATTTATTTATTTATTTTTATGTGGTGCTAAGGCTCGAACCCAGTATCTCACACGCACAAGGCAAGTGCTCCACCACTGAGCCCCAGCCCCAGCCCCCACATCATAAACCTTTATAAGGTCAGTGTGGTTGGACAGCTTACAGAGGATGGGAAGTAGGAAGAAGAAAGACAAACGGAAATAGAGGGGAATAATTTCTTCATCAACATAGTAGGAAACCAGAAACTACTGTCCACAATTGATAGATGAAAAAAATAGAGGTTTAAGTATATCATTTAATTTTAAAAGGCAAATAATAGAACTAAAGTGAAAATCATAACTAACAAAAATGAAGAGTGCTGAAGTGAATTATAGCAAAAGTTAGTAAAGCTGATAATTTAATTATTAGAGGTTCAAAATATTAAAATCAAGAAGTTACAAAAACTAAAAACAGAAAAAAAAAGTCAGAAGTAGTTACCTCCAAGGAGTGGAACAGAAGATGGGAAGGTAAAATTTTACTTTTTACAAAATGATCTCTGCATTACTTAAATTAATTTCCATGTGTGTGTTTGTGTTCATAATTTAAGAGCTGAATAAACAGATCAATTGTTCAACAACTTAAAGGACAGCAGAGAAAAGAAATCAATGCTTGGAAAAGCAAAATAAGGCTAAAGTGTACATTATTATATTAGGTAAGGAAAGAGGGGTAAAAATTAATTAAAAAAAAATAGTACAGGGCTGGGGATGTGGGTCAGCAGTAGAGTGCTTATCTAGTATGCACAACACCTGGGGTTCAATCCACAGAACCCACCCACCCCCCAAAAAAAAGTTAATACAAAAGCAAGGTTATCTACAGCAGAAGATGACCCCAGCCTGAATGAAAACAAGAGAAGCGTCAAGTCTAGCAGAAAGGACCTGAGAACTAGAAAGGAAAATGCCAATCCCAGAGCTCAAAGACAGGGAGCCACTCATTCTGAGAGATTTCTCTGAGGACAGCAGAAATCCGAGCTCTCATCTCTTGACAAGGAAAAATGCTATCAAGAGGCAGAGCTATGATCTTTAAATATTCCATGTAATTTTATTTATAACATGACTCACATTCTATTTCAATAAGAACACGCTACAATTCTTAAAGCTAATAGAATCCTCTCTTGAGGTCTGCTCTGGAGTATGTTAGGTAAGAAGTCTTTTCTTTTTTTAAAAAAATCATTTATATATATTCTCAGTTTCTTAAGGCCTAACTTGAAAATAGGAAGCACAGTAAATTCAGGATATGCCTGTAAATGTAAAATCATAACGCTGGGTTCCATTGATCCTTATAGGGTTAAAAGATACTTGTCTTTTCACTACTCTTGTTCTTCTACTGTATTATTTATTTATTAATATGTAAAACACTGCTGGAGCATCTAAGTGCTAAAATACAAAGTTAAAAACATAAATTATTTAAATCCATCAAGTAATGGAAGCAAACAAAGATATTGATGACTTAATGCAAAGTTACATGAGAGGAGTTATTAGTGAATGCGTTTTTTAATTTAAAAAAAATTTTCACTAAATACAACATCATTATAACATGTACCTGGTCAACAGTCAACCAGATCTTGTTAAAAAGACACCTGGTATAGCACCTTTGGCAGAGGAAAATAAAAGAGAGAGAGATGAGGAATATATTTTATAACATACAAAATGTCATAAGGGATGGATAAACATCAAAGATGACAAGTTTTGAGGAAGCACAGATCTGGTCCCGGAGCTACACACTCAATGAGCAGACACTCTGGAAAGACAAATGGATGGCTGGTTGCTCATGGGCCTCAGAGACCCTCTAGTTTCATAAAGAGGGTCCCAGGAGCTTGGGAAAAGTTAACCATTTCATCTGCCCTTTTCCATCATTTAGCCTGGCTTGGCCCTCAGGTAATGCTTTGGTACTAGGAAGCAATGCGGTAGACTGGAAAGAGCCCTGGGTTTAAATCTTAGCTCCACTCCTTGGAAAAGATACTCTCTCTGAGCTTCATTTCCTCTTCTATAAAATAAGGACAATACTCCACAAGCATTTTGTATTCAGACAAAAAGAGATAAAATAATGCAGGTACTGGAATATTAATTAGGATATAATTGTTAGTTTTCTTAAGCTGTGGCAGAAATGCCCACAAAATCTGTGCTTCAATGGGAATTTCCTGCCTAGCCAGGAATGGACTACATCCACATTAGCTTTTCCTGTCTACCAGCTAGATGTATGTGATGCTGAGGAGGCTCTAAATGATGGTGGAACTATAAGAAGGGAGATGCGTGGGTTCCTCATTCATCTGTGGAGAACGGCCACTTGACAACAGAACACCCACAGTGACTGTTAGATGACTGAGAAATACACTATTGTGTTAAGTCACTGAAATACTGAAAATTATTTGTTACAGCAGCAAGTGCTACCTTAACCAACATACATGTGCTTTGTGATAATATAATAGTAATGGTGATGGTGTCAAACATGCCCTCAGACAAGCCATTGTTAATGCTATTTAGAAATCTTGGTCAAGTAAGCACCTGAAAAGATGTTCAACATCATTAGCCATTAGGTAATTGCAAATTGAAGCCACAATGATATGCCACTTCACCTCCACATTCTGTGATCAAAAAGATGGACAACAACAAGTGCTTGTGGAAAATTAGAATGCCTCATACGCCGCTGGTAGGAACAGAAAATGGTGTTAACTGCTATATAAATGCTTGGAAGTTCTTCAAAAAGTCAAACACAGTTACCACAGGACTCAATGGCTATTTCTAGGTTTATACCCAAGAAAACTGAATATGTTCATATGAAAACTTATATATATACTATTCATAGCAGCATTATTCATAATAATAAAAAGTGGAAATAATTCAGATATTTACCAACTGATGAATGGATAAAAAAAATTTGGTTATACAATGGAATACTATTTATTCTTAAAAAGAAATATGTTATATGTTATATGAAGAAATATGTTATATATGTTACAATCATGAATTAACCTGGAAAACATCACATTAAGTAGAAGTAAGGAACACAAGGTCATATAAGATTTCATTTATATGAGATGTCTATTATATGAAAATCCAGAGAGAGAGAAAGTAGATTGCTGGCTGCTGGATTGCAGGAGTTGAAAAGAAATGGGGGTGGGTGACTGTTAATGAAGAGAAGGCTTCATTTTGGAGTGATGAAGATGTTCTAGAACGTTGGAAGTGATGGCTGCACAACTCTGTGAGTATACTAAAAAGCACTGAATCATACACTTTATAAGGGGTGAATTTATAGTATGTGAATCTGTCAAAGTTTGGACTGAAAATGTCCCCCAAAGGCAACTGTGGTAAAGATCTGGTTGTCAGTCTATGGTTGCTACTGGGAGGTGGGTTAGGTGGAAGGAAGTTAGGTCACTGGGGGCAAGGACGTGAAGGGAATATTAGGACCCCATCTCCTTCCTCCTTCTCTGCTTCTCAGCTGCCATGAGGTGAACAGGCCTCCTCAGTCATATGTTCCTGCCCCGATTGCTCTACTGTGTCACCACAGGCCCAAAGCAACAAGAGCAAGTGACCATGGACTGAAACCAAGAACCTATACAAACTTTTCCTCCCTATAAGTTGATTTTCCAGGTATTTTAACACAGAAATAGAAATTGGACTAACACAGAACAATAATGCAATTTAAAAAAGAGCTGGGTGTGGTAGCGCACCCAGCAGCTCAGGAGGCTGAGGCAGGAAGATCATGTGTTCAAAGCCAGCCTCAGCAACTTAGTAAGACCCTGTCTCTAAATAAAACATAAAAAAAAGGGCTTGGGGGCTGGGGCTGTAGCTCAGTGGTAGAGCACTTGCCTAGCATATGTGAGGCAGGCACTGGGTTCAAGCCTTAGCACCACATATAAATAAATAAAATAAAGGTATAAAAAATACATTATTTAAAAAAAGAGAAGAAGGGCTGGGGATGTGGCTCAGTGGTTAAGCACCCCTGGGTTCAATCCCCAGTACAAAAAAAAAAAAAAAAAAGAAAGAAAAAAAGAAAAAAGAAAGAAAGAAAAAGCAGCCATTTGCTGTCTTGTCTCCCAGAGAATCTGGCTGTACAAAAAGGCTCTCTTCACATACTGACTCTAGGCTGGTCAGAACCCGCAGAATCCTTCCTGCCAGCTGTTCCTGCAACTAGGTAAGCTCAGAGCTCCCGTGCTAAGTGCATTAAATGCCTCTGCCCATGAAGAGCCTAAGGCACAAGGCTTACCTTAGTTCTGGTAACAACTAGCTAACACAGAGATGAGATAAATTTTTAGCTAACTCTGAGACTGGTATGAGGGTGGGGAGTAAGATAGAGCCCCAGAATAATTTTTGATGTATGTATCACGTCAGCAAAATTCTCTAAGGAAGAAAAAAAAAATATCTTAAAGGAATAGTGTGGGATGTGGGAAAGATCTGAGAGAGGATTGCATAAAGAAAGTATCTTTCTTTTTCCTACTTAGATATATACATTATTTTCGAAAGTGTGAGTCAAGTTCAAATCTCAACAGAAAGCTTATTTGGTCCTATCAAGTAAATTCCCATATGTACTTAATAATCAAACTATGGTAAAGGATTATTGTGATACATTTTCTTTTCTTATATACTTATTTTTTAGTTGTAGGTGGACACAATACCTTTGTTTTATTTATTTATTTTTATGTGGTACTGAAAATCCAACCCAGGGCCCCCCACATGTGCTGGGTAAGCATTTTACCACTGAGCTACAACCCCAGCCGATGTAATACATTTTCAACCTCAAAAGAAGAATATAATTCAGTGGTCCCAGTAATACATACTTGGAACTGCTGACTCCATCAGAAAGACTGCTCTTGCAATTGGAATAAATTACTGAAAGGAGGCAACTTACTTGCAGGAGACTTTTGTTCTATCAGCCACCATGGTCCACTGTTGCTGGTTGGTAGAAACCTCAACATAGTAACTGTAGCTGCGGTCATCACAGTCCCAAAGTAACAATCTAAACAAAGAGAAAAACAAGATTGCTGTAAATGTTCTCACTGGCATGGAGACATAGGCATGGGACAATCTATGTCTACCTCATCCTTCTAACCTGCCTCCTCTGCACATCACAATTCCAGAACTGGGGAAAGAAAGTGAATTTCCCAAAGGTACGAACAGAACAGTCTGCAGCTCGTCTCTTCAGTAGGAGTTCATTTCACAAATCCCCTAATTTTGGGTAGTCTCTGTCCACTTAACTGGCATGGTTCTTCAGACTGGCTCTGGAGGGAGATGTCTCCATGTCCTCCTTCCTTATTCACCACTTGGCAGGGCTGACTAAACGTAACATCCTGGAGACCACTGCTCATGGAGGAATCTGCTTTCTAATTGATGATAACTAGCATGCCCCATGACCTTTATTTATCATGTTTTAGGTTTCTTCTCATTCTCACCTGTATATGTGCCTAACTTTGGTAAGATTAACTGATTTGGAGATCTAGTAATCCCAAAGGACCCGTAGCAGGGTTGTTCCAGGATCTTCCCAAACCTGCAGATGCTCAAACTACTTTAAAAAAAAAAATAGTGGGGGCTGGGGATACAGCTCAGTTGGCAGAGTGCTTGCCTAGCTTGCAGAAGGCCCTAGGTTCAACCCCCAGCACCACCACACACACACACAAAGTGCCATAGTATTTGTGTATAACATACACACATCCTCCTGTACACTTTAAATTATCTCTAGGTTACTCATAATACCTAATACAAAGTGAGTTCAACGCAAATAGTTGTTGCATTGTATTTTCTAGGGAATAGTGACAAGAAAAAAGTCTGTACATATTTGTTGCAAACCCACACATATGGAGGATCTTCTACATAGGCAAACATATATTCACTAGCAAAACTTCCTTAAATATTATTTAGGAAGTTATTATTTGGGTCCTTTTCTTCTTATCCCACTTTTCTACCCAGACAAGAACTTGAGCATTGACAATATTATTCCACTGTTGTTAAGCTCAAAGATGACAAAATTTATCTATTGATTTCAGAACTGTGGTTACCTCTGGGGAAGGTATTGATTGGGAAATGGCATGAAAGAACCTTCTAGAACGCCAGAAGTATTTTAATTTTGATGTGGGTAGTAGTACCTGAGTATAGACATGTAAATATTCATTAAGCTACACCTAAATTATTTGTGCACTCTGTATTATTCTTCAATTAAAAAGTAAGAATAAAAAAAGCAATATGGGATCTACATTTTGCTTCTGACAGTTCTGCAAGGAGATCTATGATTTCTATCATCTATGTTTTTTATGATTCCAGCCTTAAAAGTCCTTCCTATGCAAAATTCACACAGTATCTTATTGCTTTATAAGTTGGTCACGGGCATTTGCTTCCTTCACCAGCTAGAACAGAGAGCACCCTGAAGGCAGCGTATATGGCACACTGAGTTCTCACTTCCTAGTACCTGGCCCAGTGTCTCACACAGAGCTTATGCTCAACCAATGTCTGGGCAAATACATTCCTTCCAACAACAGTAATGATGACCATGAAGGACAGTACTTCCTTAATGCTTACTGTGTTTCAGTCCTTATGTTAAGTGTTACACAATTTGTCTTATTAAGTCCTTCCAAATATCCTCTTAGTGAGTACTATTATTCCTGTCAAATTATACAGATGGTGAAAAAGGCTTAATGCTATCAAACAACTTGTCTAAACTCATGGTTGCTGAGTGATTGATAAGGATTCCAACCTGGTATCCTGAATCAAAGCCCAGTTCTGTTATTCTGCTGCCAAATGTTTTCTTTATTCCCAGTCAGAATTTTCAACCTGCAACCTATCAGTTTATAAAAGTAGTTTGTATTACATTCCTTTAATTTATAATTATGATCAATGAAAAGGCTTTGCAAAAGTTCAGTTTAGTGTCCCCTACATAGCTATTATTGAGGATTAGGACTGCCCATGTTCCCCTCTCCCATTAGTTCTTTGTTTTCAATTGTAATGCTGTTTGCTATCAAGTAATATATGTTTGTTACTGAAATTAGGAAAGGACTTCAGACTGATTAATCATTCTCTTCATTAATAGCTCTGGTAACAGGTTTGCTGGGAGACAATGTTGAGACATTTTCTCATTGGGATTCTGGATTACTTATGGACAGCCAGATTTGTCAACCTTTCAGATAATCAAGAGTTAGTTCTGCTACAGAGTATCCAAACAAAAACAATCAGTCCCTTTAGGAATATAATCTAACCAGACCTCAAAATATTTCATTGAAAAAGACTGCCTTGAGGATATGGGCTATAGAAAAGATAAAAAAGGATGACCAATTATGAGTATCATAAACATTCCAGTAGAGAATCTTGAAAGGATAGCACACTAGAAGAATTTTTAAGTGGCCTATTCTATAAAGTCCTCCATTTTGTTTTAAGGCAAATCGTTATTTTAAAATGAAGATCATCTGTAATTCTAAGAATACTGTAAACACAAATACAAAGTGCCTATTATTTGTAACTTGCTTATTTTGCTTAACAATCTATTATGAACATCTTTTCGTATATTGAATATTCTTATACATCACATATGCTGACTTTGTAGTATTTTATTTTTTGGACATCTCAATTTATTTAATCAGTCTCTTATTATTAGGCACTTAGGTAGCTGATATTATTTTACTGGTATGAAAATTCTATGATGAGGGCTGGGGTTGTGGCTCAGTGGTAGAGCGCTCGCCTAGCACGCGTGAGGCACTGGGTTTGATCCTCAGCACCACATAAAAATAAAATAAAGATATTGTATCCACCTAAAAAACTAAAAAATAAATACTTAAAAAAAATTCTGTGATGAACATTCTTAGCTAAATACATGATCAATGCCTTTGAAAGTTTCTGTAAACAAAACTCCTAGAGTAGGGCATACAAACATTTTGAAGCTTTGGTATGTATCATAAAATAGCTGTATATCTTTCTTCTCCCCCATCCCAAACAAAAATCTTTAACAAGTTGTACTCACATCACCACCAGTGTGTAACAAATGCCCAAGTATCATCACCAATATTGTGGTTAGGTTTATAAATACTGCCAATTTGATAGATGAAATATATTTAGCTAATTTGCAATTTTTTACTTAACATTGAACTTGAACATTTTACCCATTTCCTACTTACATTTATCCTTTTGTTAATGACTTACAAAATGTCCTCTATATCTAAAGGATATTAATCCACTGCCTAGCATAGTTTGCATGCTGAAGATATTAATTTTTATTAGCCTGGACTATCGATCTTTACCTCAATAATTTCTCCTGGTCTAAATTCTTTTTTTCTGAACAGCAGCCAAGTGCACATATTGGTGGAAATCTTGTTCTCTATTCCTCTATTAGGAGTCCCTAGGGGCTGGGAATGGGGGGGTCATGGTGACTCCTAAGTGGAAAAGGGACACTGATGGATCTCAGGTTATCAAGACCATGGCTCAAACTCACCTACACAGTGGGGTTTTTTGTGAGATTCTAATTCATATGTCAGAATGCATATTTGCTTGGAATTAAGGCTTCACAGAGAATAAAAATCTCCTGGTTGATTCAAACAAAAAAGCAGGTACAGTTTAAGAACACTCAAGGAAAACTGACTCCATCTCTTTCTCCATGGATAGGAATTTGGTTCTGATAAGGCACAAGTGGAAGGCCCACCGACAACCTCCACTTCTTCTCCTGCCAGCAGCGCAGAGTCACTGTTCTTATGCCTTTGTACTTGCAGGACAAAGAGACACTGCTGACCTGTATCCAACCGGGAATGTCTGCAGGGAGCTTGCCCAGGACAGACACCTCGATGATGTGTGTGTATGTATGTGTGAGCTCTTTAAAAGGCCCCATCTCTCACACACATCCACACACCTCCACCGTTCAGCAGAAGCCATTTCCAAAAGGAGCTGAATAATGGACACCACTGGCCAAGAACTGTTGAAGCTGATGAAGAGTGTTTAGCTAGGGCCACAAACCTCTCTACAGAGTGAGCACTGCATGAACTACCTGGTGATACTAAACACCATCTCCTCCATCTTTCCTCTTTCTTACTGTGGTGTTTCCCTAAAAGCAGTGAAGTGCTAGGTTTTTTAAAATTGATTAGCAGATGTGATTTTGCTTACATCCTCCATAAATGCTCTGGCTGGCTGCATATCATTGATTAGTAGGGGTTCAGTTTACAGCAACTAATTGCTCTCCTTGCTGGTGTTTTGATACAAAATTCAATAGTGAATATGATTTCAAAACTCTTGTCTTTGCGGCTTGAGTCAGAAGTGACTCGAGGCAAACCCAGTGGACTGAGTTTTCCCTTCTTAAAATAATTGCTCTCTCATCAGTCTGTGAAGAAAGTTTCCAAATTGTAGCATTCTAATTGGAAAGCCTGCATTATGCATGCGATGACAAACTATGTTGTGCTGAATGGCATTTTTCCGTCCTTTCTTAAGGGATTAATTCTATGCCAGATTGTGAACAATGGCTGAAGCCTAATGGTTGAGATCAACAGCTTCTCCAATGAATTGGGGCCTCTCAGACCAGGAGCCAGGGCCTGTTTTGCTTGTTTCTAATTGTCCATCATTTGTGGGAGACTCCACTGAAAGCCCTGGGGCCAACACTAATCCTGTTGTGAATAGTTTTTTCCTTTGGGTGAAAAACAAAAACAAAAAACAAAACAAAACAAAAAAACACCAAAGAAAGATCAACTACCAGGCTGTTGGTAATGCTGTAATAGCATCATGAAATCCATTTCTAATATTTCAGTCAAAGTTAAAGATACTCCAAAAAATATGCAGAAGGGGGTGGGGTTGTAGCTCAGCTGTAGCGTACTTGTCTGGGGTATGTGAGGCACTGGGTTTCATCCTCAGCGCCACATAAAAATAAATAAATGAATAAAATATGCAGAAGACTCTTTGTTAAAGATCCCTTGAATTCTTGAGAAATTACTGTTTTCCATTCAACAGTCCAAGAATCATTGTCCAAGAATTATTTACTAAGTACTGACTACGTAACAC